AATAAAACTTTACTCAAATGCCCATGACTTCAAATCTAGATGTACTTTTTGATTTTTTGATAATTTTTTGGTAAAATAAACTATTCAATGTCCTAATCAAAAGTGTCCACGGGCACAACGGAAAATAACGGAGAGTTGTTGAGAAAAAAATTGCTCAAAGTCGTCAAAATGGAGAATTTGGTAGTTGAACGTGAGAAAAACGCCGTGTTATTTTGCAACTTTATGCCTCTGGGAAATTGTAGCATTGGCTCTAGCAATTCTTTCATGGGTCTTGTGTCTTTTCAGCACCGATTGCCAATAATTATAGACCATACAGGGTGACGTATAAAGGCATAATCTGAGGAATGAAAAAATAATTTTTATAACATTATGAAAACAATAGATTGTGTGAAAGTTAGTCGATGGATATGGATATGGTTATATAGAAGACAATTCAATTGATATATAGAGGGTGATACAGGGCACAATAATGGAAGTCAATTGTATTGCAGAATATGTACGAAAGTAAGGGTCGCAAGATTTATTGAAAAATAACACTGTGAAATTTTAATAAAATAAATAATATACATTGACATAATAATGATCAACAAAAAACTATTGAAGAGTTTGTTGCAAAAACTGAAGCATATTCAGTCAATGATGTGAGATTTCACCTCATTTCCATTTCGATTTCCCGCATCGACAACAAGTTTATTAACCGATATACTTGACATTTGGTTCATGTCTGGCGTATCCAATGAACCAAAGAACACTTGATAAATGAACACATATGCCCAGTGTTTTGGCACCTGCCTTACAAGTACAATAATAACCTGTTATAAGGTGTTCATTTGTGAGCTGTATCCACACATCCATAAATATTTTGTGTCATTGCGATGACGGAAAAAACTCCGAAACAAAGTAATCCGGGATATTGAAGTGAGGTATCGAAATGAAGTTCATTTGGTGCTTCCCTCTGATTTGAATCTTGTACATAAGATGGAGCAAGTCTCAATTGATATGTATCGATAGAAGAATATCGTAATGATAACCATCGTAATGGTAATCGTAATGGTAACCATCTTCCCCGTCTTTTCCTGGGATGTTCTTCCTCCATTATGTTCTGTACCCTATTTATCTAGCGAGATCTTTTCAGAATCAGTTCAGCTAAATCTGCAGCTGTTTCTATCATTTCAATCACTGGGTGACATTTGTTAATAATTGCTCCACCAATAAGAAGAAAGTTCCTCAAATGATAAAGGTGATGGTAGGAAGTAGTAGTAGGTTGTTGTCAATTCTGTACACTGAAGGGCATTTTATGTACAATCCCTAATTCTTTTTGAAGCCGAAACACCGCCTTCTAGTTGTACACATATTTAAGCCCTTCTCTTGACACTACGTGTAATATAATTTTTCAGTTCATTTATATTATTATGTTTCATTTCATACACCTCATTTTTCAGAAATCTCCAAAAATTAAAATCTAGAGGTATCATTTCTTGTGAACGAAGAGACCACTTCACCGGTCCATTTGTAGCAATCCATCTGTTTCCAAAACATTCTCGCAACATTTTTTCTACGCCACTGAAATTTTGTGCTGGTGCTCCATCCTGCTGAAAATAAATCATCTGACGAGTCTCCAGATCAAGATTATCTAAAAACTCTTTCAACACTCTTGTCAATAATAAATTATTGTAACGGGGTCCGTTCAAAGAACCATGGTAGAAAAATGGACAGATGATTCTGCCTCTAAATAGACCACACAAAACATTAATACTAAATCATCTTTTCGGATTGTGAGAATGGACTAGAAATTATTTATGTCTCCTCCAATAATGAAAATTCTTTCTTTTATACATCCCACAATTTAAAATATTAGCCTCATCGCTCCATATGATATTTCTATAGAAGTTTGGACCCTGTCTGCATTTAATAATAATAATATGAGTTTATTCATGACAATATATACACCGACAAAAGGTAAATATTCGTTTTGAGAGCACCCGGTGNTTTGATTCACAAAATAAATACGGCTAGTGGAATGGCTTCAAGATGATAATTATCGTGTTGTAAAATAATACCGAATAGCTCAGTGGTGTCAAGTGAAGTGACCCGATATGATGATCACGGGTTTTGCGAGTTCAAATCCCAGAAGAATTTCTTCTTTTTGCTGTTAGTATCAGAATATTCGTCATTCGTATAAGTACCAATATTGAGTGTTTGGACAATCATGAAATTTCATTTGCCAAAACAAAGAAATTTTTTGTACTAGTGAAATATATAAAAATTTCCACATTAGTCCCTCATTTTTAACTGTAGGAAGAAAAGTGATATGAGCTTTGTTGTTGAGAATATTTTTACGAATCGAAATGCACCATAATGAACCATTCAAAAAAAATATCATTTTATGAAATATTTTGAGAACAGGACTGTCAATATTTTTTTGTTTTCGGCATCCAAAAGGCCAATAATGCTACCCATTCAACCGAATTCGTAGCATCAAAAATAACGGAGTTGGCAATGGTGGCGACTAGATGATAATTTGGTGAATGAATTTGATATAATCAAAAGCGGGAAAAATTCTTGGACGAAGAACTCAAAAAATAATAAGCAAACCGCACATACATTGTTTCTAGCTCGTTAGCTGTCATCAGTACGGTATAGCTGAGTGCAAGGTTAGGCAATAGGCTGTACTGTGTTTTCGAACAGAACACATTGCCCCCAACCGTGTTAGGAATCACACGTTGAAAGGTAAGACCTAGCTAGTTCTTAGCTCGCACAAGTTTCGACTTCTGAAGGTAGGTTTTCTTAGCGACGTGTTTTTTACGCAGCAGGAACCGGGCTCGCCTCAATTGCGTCGGTAGGGGCGCGAAACTTATCACGCGGCGTTTTAATGTTTTCCAAGCAAAGCGTGTTTATCTGTTCAGTTGACGTACTGACAGACAATGGACAGTGTCTCGGGTGTGTCATTATGGAACCAATCCAAAGAAGAAAGAAAATTATTATAATGATTATCCTTGAACAAATGAAAAATGATGAAGAGAACCATATTTTCTGGAAACACGCGAAATTTAGAAAAGAAAAAGTGACTTTTATGAAAATCGGGAAAACGAGGGATTTCTCAAACTTTTAATCGATAACCATCTCATTGATGAAGAAGAACAGTTCAGAAGGTATTTTAGGCTGTCACGCATACGTTTTGAACCTTGTAGAAGAGCAACTGAGACTTTCTTCCTGTAACCGAGTCAAGATACCAATTACACCGGCAGAAAAATTGGCTTTAACTCTGAGGTANTTTCGAACAGAACACATTGCCCCCAACCGTGTTAGGAATCACACGTTGAAAGGTAAGACCTAGCTAGTTCTTAGCCTTCACAACAATCGACTTCTAAAGGTAGGTTTTCCTAGCGACGTGTTTTTAACGCAGCAGGAACCGGGCTCGCCTCAATTGCGTCGGCAGGGGCGTGAAACTTATCACGCGGCGTTTTAATGTTTTCCTAGCAAAGCGTGTTTATCTGTTCAGTTGACGTACTGACATACAATGGACAGTGTCTCGGGTGTGTCATTATGGAACCAATCCAAAGAAGAAAAAAAATTATTGTAATGATTATCCTTGAACAAATGAAAAATGATGAAGAGGACCATATTTTCTGGAAACACGCGAAATTTAGAAAAGAAAAAAGTGACTTTTATGAAAATCGGGAAAACGAGGGATTTCTCAAACTCTTAATCGATAACCATCTCATTGATGAAGAAGAATAGTTCGGAAGGTATTTTAGGCTGTCACGCATACGTTTTGAACCTTGTAGAAGAGCAACTGAGACTTTCTTCCTGTAACCGAGTCAAGATACCAATTACACCGGCAGAAAAATTGGCTTTAACTCTGAGGTAAGTGGACAGATCAATAAAATTAAGAAAGAAACCATAACATTTATTTTCGTAGGTTTCAGTCAAATCACAAACACTACACACAACAAAATAAACGTTCCGAGACGGACAAAACCTGATTATTGCGCTGCGTGGATCCGAATAGACTCCTCTCCAAGCTGCCGGTATAACACGTTGAGCGCATCACGTCGGCGTGCAACGTGTTCTATTGAATCTCTATGGAGGACTAGGGGACGTATTAAGCTGAGCGTAACACGTCGCACGCGACGCGAAAAATGCGTCGCTAGGAAAACAGGGCTTAAGGGTTGTCGTTCGTAGGGGTGCGACAGCTGGTTAACGAAAAAACATATAAACTAGGGATACCGTAGCCGACTGTTACGAGAGGCAATAGAGATCGACAAACACATGGATGAGTTCAACAGAGGTAAACCTCAATCGAATATGGAATCCCATTCTAAGAAATTCAATCCTAGCAAACAGCATGACAGCGGGTAGAAAGGAGTCAATTAATATTAACGACAAATTACCTGATCTAGGTACAGGTATTAGTACTCCAAACTATCTGACACAGTATAAACCCCTGAAGAAGCTAGCCACTCACACAAGCGAAACGTCAGAAGAAATTCCAGAAGTCGACGGCCTTCAAACCCGATAAATAGTGACACGAAAAACTTCGGTCACGATAGCGTTAACCATTTTGTCAGGAAGTGTTATTGACACATTTGTCTCAATTTGAGGTTTCTAAATGGTTTGGTAACGAATTAATCCCTTACCTTTCAACATAACAAATCACAAATACAGTTTTAAAAGGACGAAAACATCTATTCAACTCACCTGATTCATTCCATTCATCTTACTGATCACCTACATATCCCTAGTAATTGATCGAGTAACCGTTCCTACAAAAAAGTTATCTTGTATCTTATCAACTCAATGATAACAGTGATTTCCGAATATCAGGATGAAAATTATAGGAACCTTCAGAGATCCGATAAAATTTTATATTATTGATTTATTAACTATACACGACAGCGATTCGACATAGTCTTTTGTTCAAATTAAATACCGGGACATCGTATCCCAAACAAAATATTTGTAAGTTTAAATGATCTGAAAAAAATAGAAAACACTGGATACACTTCTGAAGATTCTTGCAAGCTCTGAACTGAAAGACGAGACGACACAGTAATTCTTAGTCCTAATAATACAAAAATGATCATCAAAACTTTTATAAATTCCATTTGGGCTTTCCAAAATAATTTTAATTTATTATAAATACGTTAGCTCAAAAATTTTAAATTGCTTTCAGGTATTCCAATCACGTTAAAAACAATAAACTGAATCTGTCTTATCAAGTTATAGCTGACAATTTTTTATGGCACCTTGTTTGAGGTGTGAGGTTATTAAAAAAAACTATGACATAGTGGCATAAATACATCGTAGAGGCAGATTCTAGAGACGAGACAGATCGAAGATAAGATGCAGTTGAGGTCCCAGAGAGGAGACCTAGATAACACATATTTCTGGGACTCATATTTGTATGTTTCAGGTTCCTTCTGGCATACCGTCATCAGAAAGGATACCATCCAAACCCCTTGAAGGAAAAGTGGATTAGCACTAAAGTTGCCCGATCTCGTGTATGAAGTGCTAAGGTAACGGTGACAAGAGAGCTTAGGTTTAGGAGTGGGTTCAAAAACTGGGGTTGGCAAAACAGCATTATCAATTACCTTCTTCGATTATGATTCGACTTGACTGTTGGAACCATCGACATTGGGTCAAATTCCTTTTGTCCACCTTGAAGTCGGCCTCATTTTTGTGTATGATTCTCCACCTACCAGAAAAAACGTTTCCTGTAAGTGGCCGTCGATGGATATCTCTGTGTGTGTGTCGAATGGAGTAGACGTGTTTAGGATTCGCTGCTGCTAATTATTGTAAACATTAGACAATGTGCAAAATCTAAATCTAAAATTATAAGTGGAGTAGTATGTACTCTGAATTTGAACAATTTTCAATTTTGAAGTTTCCTTGAAAACTGTTATCGGCATGAATACCCGAGGAGGAAATAAAGAAATGGGTGATCTACAGTCAATGGTAAAAACATTCGTCACCAAATTGTGCACTTCAGAAGATTTTTTCTCTCATTTATCCAAAGCCATAACAGAAACGATAATTAAGAAATTTGATTCAGAATTGAAGATGTTGAAAGAAGAGAATGCTGAACTGAAAGGGCAGTTGAAAGATCAAGCTGGAATTTTTTCGACACTCGTCAATCAGCAAGAAAAATGTAAACAAGTTATGAGAAGTAAGAATATCAGACTCTATGGTTTAGCGGCAAATGTGAATGAGGATAGTTTAAAATGTGATTCAGAAGATTTCAATCAGAAAATGAACATAAATATAAATAGTTCCGACGTTGAGAAATGTTATCGTATTGGTAATTATGATCCTCATAAATCTTGTCTGTTATTTATTCATTTCACCACGAATTATTATAAAAATAATGTATATAAGAATTAGAAAAATTTGAAGAATACGGGTATCACGGTTAGAGAAAACTTAACGCCTACTCAAAATACATTACTACGTGCAGCCATGCAAAACTTGGCATCCGTGGCAAACTGTAAACGAACTTTGGACAGATTCTTCTCAAATATGATCACGAACAATCAGTCATCAAGATAAGCAAAATGGCAGATGTTTTTGAATCATGGACTTATTTCGGATAAAATTACGCTCCACTTATGTTGAAATATGTTCCGTTTTTTTTTGTTTGAACTAGGTCACGGTTATTATTATCATCCGAGGATTACCTGTTTCAAAATGTTCTCACATCAGGTGAATACATTAGTACATTTGCATCTTAGAAACCATTGTTGTTTTTCTTTACAGCTAATCCAAACTATTTAAGATATCGCTTTTTCAATTTCTCTTTTTACGACAGCTAAACTTTTTTTTTTATTTGAAAATAGGTATTCAGGATAAAGATCGGTGATTAAGTAATATTTATTTGCATTAGTCATGGAATCCGTCAAAATAGGAAGTTTGAATGTGAGATCGCTCCTCCCATCATTTCAAGAAGTTCATCAACTAATATTAGAAGGATAATTTGATATTTTTATGATATCTGAGACGTGGCTTCATCATGACATCTAAATGAACCTAAATGATTTCACATTATTCAGGATAGATCGCGAAACTAGAGGTGGTGGCTTATGTATTTTTATCAATAAGATTCTAAGGGGGAATTTCTCATCAAGGCAGGCAAATCCTACGAGCAATATATCCGAAAGTGAATAAAATACTATGCACTGGTGATTTAAATATCAATTTAATGACTTNTTTTACCACGAATTATTATAAAAATATTGTATATAAGAATTAGCAAAAACCTGAAGAATACGGGTATCACGGTTAGAGAAGACTTAACGCCTGCTCAAAATACATTGCTACGTGCAGCCATGCAAAACTTGGCATCCGTGGCAAAGTGTAGACGAACTTTGGACAGATTCTTCTCAAATATGATCATGAACAATCAGTCATCAAGATAAGCAAAATGGCAGATGTTGTCGAATCATAAACTTATTTGGGATAAAATCACGCTCCACTTGTGTTGAAATATGTTGCGTTCTGTTTTTTTGTTTGAACTAGGTCACGGTTATTATTATCATCTGAGGATTACCTGTTTCAAAATGTTCTCACATCAGGTGAATACATTAGTACATTTGCATCTTAGAAACCATTGTTGTTTTTCTTTGCAGCTAATCCGAACTATTTGAAATATCGCTTTCTCAATTTCTCTTTTTAGCTGAACTTTTTTTTCCTTTTCATTTGAAAATAGGTATTCAGGATAAAGATCGGTGACAAAGTAATATTTATTTGCATTAGTCATGGAATCCCTTAAAATAGGAAGTTTGAATGTGAGATCGCTCCTCCCATTATTTCAAGAAATTCATCAACTAATATTAGAAGGATAATTTAATATTTTTATGATATCTGAGACGTGGCTTCATCATGATATCAATAATGACTCACTGAACCTAAATGGTTTCACATTATTCAGGATAGATCGCGAAACTAGAGGTGGTGGCTTATGTATTTTTATCAATAAGATTCTAAGGGGGAATTTCTCATCAAGCAAATCCTACTAGCAATATATCCGAAAGTGAATAAAATACTATGGACTGGTGATTTTAATATCAATTTAATGACTTACGAATGCTCAAGAGCTCAAAATCTTATATACATCTTAAAGTCTTTTTGTTTAAAACAAATAGTAGAAACTCCAACAACTCGATTTAATGATACTTCAAGAAGCAAAATCTGTTTCAGAAGTGATGTCGATGGACACAAATGGTATTACGGACCATTTGCTCGTAGCTCGCAAAGTAGAGTAGACGGACAAAAAGTAGGTCCCAAAATGTGTACACATAGAAATTTCAAAAACTTCGATGCTGATCTGTTTGAAATTGATCTACTTAACACACCCTTCTTCATGATATTTTATCAAAATTCAATACAAGGAAAAGTAAATTTTTTGATTAACTGTCTAACAAATTTTTTTGATAGGCATGCACCTTATAAATCATCAAGGGTAACAAAACCTAGAGCCTCATGGTTGACTCTAACAATACAAGAAATGATTAGAACAAGAGAGACAAAGCTCTGAACAAATATAAAAGGACAAAATCACTAGCACACTTACAGTTCTATAAAGATATGCGCAACTATGTTAATGGTACAATAAAACGTGAAAAAAAGTTTACTTCTGTTATAAGTTTAAAAATTTTATTAGAAACGAGCTCTGGAAATCACTGAAATAAAATAAAATCGTGAATGTAATATCGACAGAAATTCCTGAACATCTGAAGGTTCCAGAGAAAATTAATGATTTTTTGGTGAATACTATCCCTTTTTCTGAACCTTCAGATGCACTTTCAAACTTTTATAAGGAAAACCGATTAAACAATTGAAATTTTGAGTTTCTAGAAGTTAATGACGTATTTGTTTACACAACTATTTGTNAACAATTCAAATTTTGAGTTTCTAGAAGTTAATGACGTATTTGTTTACACAACTATTTGTAAGATCAGTACAAATGCTATGGGATGTGATCAGTTAAACTTGAGATTAATTAAATTATGCTGCCCTCATATTATAACTTATATAATCCATATAATAAATACCTGTCTTTCTGAAAAAGTTTATCCCTCTGTGTGGAAGAGTGCAGTGGTTAAGGTTTTGCCGAAAAAAAGTAATATTACTGAGTTTAGAGACTTGCGAAGAATCAGTATTTTGCCAACATTATCAAAAGTTTTAGAAATGGCAATGGAATTACAGTTGAGAGAATATCTTGAGAGAAACTCACTTATGCCAAATATACAGTCAGGATTCAGAAAAGGTCATAGTTGTACAACTGCACTCCTAGATATTAGTGATGACATAATGAGATCAACAGATCAGGGTAAGTGTACGATATTGGTTCTCCTCGATTTCAACAGAGCATTCGATACCTTGAATCATAAACTCTTACTAAATTATATGGGGTTATCTAATAACGCTGTCAAACTTATGGGCAATTATCTGGAAGGTAGAAAGCAGCACGTTTGGTTGGATTTTCAAGTATCGGATGATCTGGAACTGAAGGCAGGAGTACCACAAGGATCAGTTTTGGGTCCATTGCTCGTCACTATTTACTCGTCAACCGTTCTAAGGAAACTTAAAACCTGTAATGTACATGTTTACGCTGACGACACTCCATTTTATCAAAGTTTTTATCCAGAAGATGTCAAAGAAGCCTGCGGAATCATATATTCAGATATTAGACACTTTATTGAGCTAGCAACTTCAAACCCGCTATTTATTAACACATTTATTATCATTTTCGAGTCAAAAATCAATAGGAGTGAAATCATCAATTCAG